AGATATTGGAACACTGCTATCATGTCTCCCCTAGTCCTTCTTTCTATTAAACTAGACATACCCAGTTCCTGCAACCGTTCTTCATATGTTTGTCATTCAGCCTGATTGCTATTCAGCTTGCCGTTGTATCCCAGAGCCTGCAGGAATGTAAAACATGATGACCTGCATATACTGCACATTTAATGTACAAATATGTTATCAATTTATAAAATCTGCTCTAGTTCTCACCTTAGGGACATCAAGTTCTGACCCCATCACTCCTAGAGCACTGATGCAGATATTCAAGAGGCCGTCTCGGGGAACAACGATCAACATAAAAGCATGAAGCATTCCTTTAAAAACAAAGAAAAGTCTAACACTTAACTCTTCAATCTACATACCACTAAAACTCTTATCATTACCATTAACTAGGCAAAACAGTGCATTATAGAACAACAATTTTTAAACCAATGTACCTCAAATGAACTAATGAACAGAATGCATTGAAAATCTGGAACCTACGACTCCGAAGGGAAAGAAATTTGTGGAAGTTGTTGCTGCCTCAGGCTGCTGCGGCCATGTTGAACATGAACATTTTGTGAGAGTTTCCCTTCCACTCTCGCAATCCCTTGCTCCCCCAGCAGGAAGGAATTAACTGATTATGTGGTTCTTAAAAAACATGAAGCATGAAGAAAGGTCTGGATATTTTCACTGGCAGATAAACATATACCATATTTTTCAGAGTATAAGACGCACCGGACTATAAGATGCAGCAAGGTTTTGACAAGGCATTTTTTTAAAAAAAAGTAGGTAGGTAGATAGAGGGAGAGAGAGGGAGAGAAAGAGAAATACAGTAGGTAGGTAGGTAGAGAGAGAGAGAGAATACCTAGGTAGGTAGGTAGGTAGGTAGGTAGATAGATAAAGGGAGAGAGAGAGATAAATAGAGAGAAATACAGTAGGTAGGTAGGAAGAGAGAGAGTGTGTGTAGGTAGGTAGGTAGAGGGATATATATATATATATGGAGAGAGAGAGTAGGTAGGTAGGTAGGTAGAGGGATAGAGAGAGGGGGAGGGAGAAATACAGTAGGTAGGTAGGGATAGAGAGTAGGTAGGTAGGAAGAGAGGGATAGAGAGAGAGAGGGAGGGAGAAATACAGTAGGTAGGGAGAGAGAGAGTGAGTAGGTAGGTAGATAAATGGATAGAGAGAGATAGAGAGAGTAGGTAAATAAACAGAGAGAGAGAAAGAAATAGAGAGAGAGAGAGAGAAATACAGTAGGTAGGTAGGGAGAGAGAGAGAGTAGGTAGGTAGCAATGGTGGGTTTCCAATCCCGCTTCAACCGGTATGGTTGGAACGGGGCCAGCGGTGTCCTCATGGATGTGCTCAGTGCATGTGCACACACGTGCAGCGCGCACATGTGTCTTAGCGCCTCAACACTCCACTACGCTCCAGCTGCTCCGTGAAGCGTCGCACAAGCACTGTACGTGCCATGCACCTGCACAGAAGCACAGAAGTCTTTAAACACCGGTAAGGAGCTTGGGATGGTGGGTGGGCCCTCCGGAGCACCATACCGGAATGGTATCCAATGCTTCGGGCACCGGGGCGTACTGCCTGCAACTCACCACTGGTAGGTAGATAAGATGTTTCTAGGTGTATTTATCCATGTGCGGGAGAAGGAAATCACCGACAAACTACAGCACCTAACTTCCTGCTGGCACAGCACTTGATCAATCTAATTCTCATCAATCAGTTAAAGAACTTTCCAAAAGGGGAAAAAAAGTTTTTGCACTATACACCCACAAAACGGCCTGTTTTTCACGAAAATGGGCCCATTTTTAAAAAATAAAAGGCATGAATAGCCTGGGGGGGCTTGCAGAGTGCTTCTGGGGGGGAGCAAAAGGAGCAGAAACGGCATATTTTTTATGAAAACGGGACCGTTTTCTGTCAAAAAAATTGCATGAATAGCCTTATGGAGGTTTACATAAAAATATGGATATCTAAATCCCATTTTTCTTCAGGGATATATTCGGACTATTGATCTAAAATGATTGCATTCAACCTTTGTCAACTAAACCAAATTATGACAGTTTAGTATGATGTATGAATCCAGTCACTACTTAAAATAATGTGATATATGATCTTTTCATTCTATATAATCTTAATTCTTATGAATTCTTATGAAACTGAGGCAAGAAAAATAATGCAAATATGGGGGAAATGGATGCAGACTCATTTTTTTTCTTTTTCATTAAAATTTATTTTAATGAAATCTATTTATTGGCTTTCAAGACCACCAAAATCACTGTGCATGGCTTACAATATTTAAAAGAAGTCATAATTTAAAAAAAAATATCACTAGGGACCAAATTATAGAAATAACATTTTAAAAAAATTTATAGGTGCTCACAAATCCCATAATCCCAGGCCCAATACACTATTATATAATTTATACATGAATAACTTCTAGTATTAGAAATTAACACCTTCAATGTTTCCTTCTATGCAATTCATTTTTTCATCAACCCTACCCATCCTGGTTATATATTTACATAATTTATGTATATGATGAGCATTTTAATGTCAGTCTTTAATATATTAACATCAAATTTCTGGATCATAGTTCAGTGTCATGCTTATTTATTCTAATTATTATTTTAAAATTATTTTAAAATATTATGATTCATTGTATCTAGTTCAATACAAGCACATGTATCAATAAATATAAGATCCTTATTAATAAAACAAAGTTTCTTATGTTGAGTTGCAGAATCTCTTGGCAGATGGCATTGGATTACATTTGTTTTCTTCTTTCCATTCTTACTACCTTGACTAACTGATTATGGCAAATTGCCCCAAAATACTTTATGAATCATACTGTTAAGTATAAAAACTGCATTGATTGAGAAAATAAAGCATTGGCCTTTCCAATTATTTGTTACTCTTAGTGGCAATTCCATTCCCAGCTTTATTATGGTATTTGAGATTTGAGTCCTTTCCATTGGCTAGCATCCAGTTTTCAGACACGAACTCCTGTGGCATGTCTGAAATGCCTTCTCACAAGAAGAACCATGCTCCTAGCTCAAACCTGAGTTCCCTGATGCTGTTGGGTCTCAATTCCCCTCTTTCCTTATCACCGGCCATGTTGCTTCTTCACAAGGGGAAGAATACTTAAACAATATCCTTAGATTGAAAGCTGGAGAAGAATGTATACAACAGGATTCTCTAGAACCATGATGGTGAACCTATGGCATGAGTGCCAGAGGTGGCATGCAGAGCCCTTTCTGTGGGCACGCGCACCATTGCCAGCTGCTCTTCTGGTTTCCGGCACGCACATGTGCACCGGCCAGCTGGTCTTTGCAGGCGCTGGAAATCGGCCTGAAAATGGCCTAAATATNAAAAAATAAAAGGCATGAATAGCCTGGGGGGGCTTGCAGAGTGCTTCTGGGGGGGAGCAAAAGGAGCAGAAACGGCATATTTTTTATGAAAACGGGACCGTTTTCTGTCAAAAAAATTGCATGAATAGCCTTATGGAGGTTTACATAAAAATATGGATATCTAAATCCCATTTTTCTTCAGGGATATATTCGGACTATTGATCTAAAATGATTGCATTCAACCTTTGTCAACTAAACCAAATTATGACAGTTTAGTATGATGTATGAATCCAGTCACTACTTAAAATAATGTGATATATGATCTTTTCATTCTATATAATCTTAATTCTTATGAATTCTTATGAAACTGAGGCAAGAAAAATAATGCAAATATGGGGGAAATGGATGCAGACTCATTTTTTTTCTTTTTCATTAAAATTTATTTTAATGAAATCTATTTATTGGCTTTCAAGACCACCAAAATCACTGTGCATGGCTTACAATATTTAAAAGAAGTCATAATTTAAAAAAAAATATCACTAGGGACCAAATTATAGAAATAACATTTTAAAAAAATTTATAGGTGCTCACAAATCCCATAATCCCAGGCCCAATACACTATTATATAATTTATACATGAATAACTTCTAGTATTAGAAATTAACACCTTCAATGTTTCCTTCTATGCAATTCATTTTTTCATCAACCCTACCCATCCTGGTTATATATTTACATAATTTATGTATATGATGAGCATTTTAATGTCAGTCTTTAATATATTAACATCAAATTTCTGGATCATAGTTCAGTGTCATGCTTATTTATTCTAATTATTATTTTAAAATTATTTTAAAATATTATGATTCATTGTATCTAGTTCAATACAAGCACATGTATCAATAAATATAAGATCCTTATTAATAAAACAAAGTTTCTTATGTTGAGTTGCAGAATCTCTTGGCAGATGGCATTGGATTACATTTGTTTTCTTCTTTCCATTCTTACTACCTTGACTAACTGATTATGGCAAATTGCCCCAAAATACTTTATGAATCATACTGTTAAGTATAAAAACTGCATTGATTGAGAAAATAAAGCATTGGCCTTTCCAATTATTTGTTACTCTTAGTGGCAATTCCATTCCCAGCTTTATTATGGTATTTGAGATTTGAGTCCTTTCCATTGGCTAGCATCCAGTTTTCAGACACGAACTCCTGTGGCATGTCTGAAATGCCTTCTCACAAGAAGAACCATGCTCCTAGCTCAAACCTGAGTTCCCTGATGCTGTTGGGTCTCAATTCCCCTCTTTCCTTATCACCGGCCATGTTGCTTCTTCACAAGGGGAAGAATACTTAAACAATATCCTTAGATTGAAAGCTGGAGAAGAATGTATACAACAGGATTCTCTAGAACCATGATGGTGAACCTATGGCATGAGTGCCAGAGGTGGCATGCAGAGCCCTTTATGTGGGCACGCGCACCATTGCCAGCTGCTCTTCTGGTTTCCGGCACGCACATGTGCACCGGCCAGCTGGTCTTTGCAGGCGCTGGAAATCGGCCTGAAAATGGCCTAAATATGGCAAAAAAACAGGCCATTTCTGGGTTCTTTTCCAGGCCAAAAACAGCTGGAAATCAGCCCAAAAAACAGCTTGATAAATGGCTCAAAATACGGCAAAAAAACAGGCCATTTCTGGGACGTTTTCTGGGCCAAAAGCAGCCTTTCTGTGGGCACGGCACGTGCACCATTGCCAGCTGTTCTTCTGGTTTCTGGCACACACACGTGCCCTAGCCAACTGGTCTTTGCGGGTGCTGGAAAATGGCCTGAAAACGGCTCAAAATATGGCAAAAAAACAGGCCGTTTCCGGGTTGTTTTCTGGGCAAAAAACAGTCAGAAATCACCCCGAAAAACAGCCTGAAAAAATGGCCCAAAATATGGCAAAAATCCAGGCCATTTCTGGGTCGTTTTCCGGGCCAAAAACAGCTGGAAATCAGCCTAAAAACAGCCTGAAAAACAGCCAAAAACAGGCATGTGCGTAATGGCAAGGTGGTCTTTGGGTTTTCAGAGCTCCGGCTATCACTGCTCTAGAAGATATTTTTTTGAGCAATCTTCATAAGCATGCATGAAAACTGCACTAAATATACAACATACAGGCATAACCTTCAAATATCCATAGTGCTCCTGACTGTATCATTAT